GAAGCACAGTTACAGCAATGAGACTTTGAGAATTAGATTTGGAATTGTCCCAACAGGAATGCCTCCTGCAGACTCTGACTATTGGCCTCATAATTGGTACAGAAGGCAATGCAGGAAGAAGGGTAAATTTAGAAGATGAGGATTATCTTGTTGGTTTTGTTTTGGTTTTTTTGTTGTTGATGATGATGATGATCTTTGGTAGTCTTGTTGATATGCTCTTTTGGATTGGGTTTTAATTTTGTTGCCTATTATCATGATATGTTGGTTAAATATGCCTTGTTGGTTGCCTAAAATTGTACTTGTATACTCATGTTGGGTTGATGTTTGACATTTTTTGATTAATTGTATACTCATGTTGGGTTGATGTGTGGCTGTTTTGAGTACTTGTATACTCATGTTGGGTTGATGTGTGGCTGTTTTGAGTACTTGTATACTGATGTTGGTTTGATGTGTTGCTGTGTTGAGTATATGCCTAGGATGAGGTCTGTGATGATATTTTATTTGGGCATTTAGAAGGCATATAGGATCTTGTTCATGTCATTTAGACCACAAGGTACCATCTTCCTCAAGGAATCTATAAAGCATGATATGAGTTTTATTTGGCTGCTCAATTTGCCTATTATGATAAAAACTTTAAAATCTGAGACCTTTTGTCATAACATGTCCTTACACTTAGTGTTTTATTACCAATGGGATATATGTTTAGATGTTCAAATTATTGACCACTTCACAATTATCCCATTAGGTAATAAGACATTATGTGAGTGATCCTAATTTGATAAGGTCAATGATGAATGATGGGAGTATGATGTTAGGAGGCATTTTGTTTTTGCCATATAACATGTATTGTGTTTTGGTGACTTGTTTGGTTAGATGAGATTGCTTGTGTGTCCTTTGTGTGAGCTTGTAATCCACAATATAAGTCTTCAATGAATATGCACTAAATGCCCTGAGAACAGATTGAAATGATTGGCTGCCTGTTGAATGGATCCATATTTCAGGTTTCCATTTGTTGACCTTGTTAATAGCCATATCAAAATGTCTAACTTGGCCCCACTACTGAGCCTCCTCCTTGTTGGCTGATGATGAGCTTCAGAGTTTTCTGGGTTGATTGGTGTTTGCTGATTGTTGATGTTGCTTACTGTGTCTTGGTGATCTGATGTTGCTTGCTGATTGTTGTTGTTAGCTGCTGTCTCTATATGGTTGCTTGCTGGTTCAGATGCATCTGTTGCATCAGGGGAAGGAGTTTGGTTTAAATCAAACCCAATGTTGTCATGGTTATTTTCTGAGTCAATCCCATCATCGTAGACAAAGTTGAGATTATACTGAAACATTTCAGCATCATTAGCAGCAGCATCTTCATCCATGTCATCATTCAAATTGAAGTCTGAAGCCATTTGGAGTTGGAGGCAATGATGTGATTTGGGTGTCTTTGAATGTGTTTATTTTTTTTTAAAGTGTCAATTTTCTGTTCTTGAATTGTTCTCTGTAAAATTCCCTCTCAAATGATTTGAAAATTTGAGAAGGAGTGGTTTTTATAAGGATTTTAGTTTTAACATTAGTCATGAATCCGTGTACTTTCATTCTATTGGATGATGTAATTTTTCAGCTAATTTGATTGGTTAAAAATCAATCACATGGATTACAAATGCATTGCTTTATTTTCATTGGTTGTGTAATAAAGACAAAAAAAACCCAAAGGTTTCTCTTTGTAATCCGCCCCTTTTTAATGACAACAACTTTCTCTCTCTACCTTTTGTTTTGCAAATGATTGGGTTTTAGTTTCCAAGTACTTCATTTATTTCTCCTTAATTCCCGTGATTTTCACCCAAAAGTGACTATCATTCGGGGACGGAGGGAGTATTAAACAATGGGACGTATTAGTCACAGTGAGTCTACGTAATGAGGACATACAGGTTTCAATCTGGGAATTGTCAAGTTTCAACTTTTAAAGACGTAGCCTTAAGACAGAGATAACTACTTTTATTAACTCGGTAATTTACTAGATTACACACTTTTAATAGACATTTACTTGGTAGAACACTAAATTATACATGTACACTTTTAATAGACAATTACAAAAGTATTCGGTGAATATGTGTTGCATTCTATTAAGTGCAAGTGTGAGTATTATCCCACATTTAAAATTAAAAAAAGCTTTTTGTTTATAACCAAGCAAGCTAATCCTTCCATTAGCAATTGATTTTAGGATATAGAACCTCACTTTGGGCTCTGGTTATATGTTATTGATCGAATTCGTGGTCATTGATGTAAAATGAACTTTATGGAATTCTATCCGTTGCCTAGCTAGATTCATATAAATTTAAAAGAGAGAAATCTGCTCCATCAATCAATTTGTAGATAGCATTTAATAAATTGAATTACATGTACACCAATTAAACCTAACAGTTTATTTAACTACACACATCTAAAGTCCATCTTTAGGCAGGCAACATAGGTGCCTAACACCTTTCTACAAACATCATCACTTATTTTTTAGTAAAACAATCTGCCTCAAATTACCAACCTTTAGCTGATAGCAATGTAGCATATGAAATCATGAAGTTACGTTTTGGTTTATATGTAAACCCTTATTATTAGAGATCCGATTAGTTTGTACGTCTAATTACATCCGCTAATTAGTTTTGTATTTTGCTTCAAAAATAAAATTAATTTTGTATTTTATTAGGGTGTTAAATTAATTTCGTAAAGCAAAATCGTACCCTAAATCCAAATTAAATCTAGCTGGAATGTAGAGCGTTTACCCCTTATCCATTTTGTGACTTCGATATCATATCCCTGGCCTTAATCCAAAAGTTTGGGTTATATGGGCTTATTAATTATTTGGTTTACTTGGCTCAAATAATTTTTTTTTTCTCTTTTCTTTTTTCTTTCTTGAAACGAGGCTCAAATAACTAATTACAAGTACGGAATAATAATATTAACTGATATTATCTGTTAAATTATTTATTTATTTATCTATTTGTTGATAAGTTGTTATTATCCGAGTATAAAAAAGCAAAAGCCTAAAGCACAAGTTCATGTACATTAAATGAGCTTTATTATTTATTTCAAAAAAAAAAAATGAGCTTTATTATCCAACAAGAAGCTCGTAGACAAAATACCAAGGCAAATCTACTTTAATTCCATTTAACCACAAAGTACCTCCATTGTGTACTCCCTCTTTTGCCAAAAAATCAGCATGCAATGATTTTTGGGCTCCCTATTTTTTTGTTGGAAAGTCATCTTTGGATCACAGAAAGAGTGTTGTTTTATTTGCTCCATTGAAGCCGAAACTCCCACGGACATGACTTCTTTCTTCATCATGCAACCGTGCTAGCTAGCTATTACGTTTTAGACTTCTACTTGACAATCACATTATTGGTTGTTTTATTTAGTTTTTAGCTGATAGAGTATAAAACATATATTTTTGGGCTTCAACCATACACAGTATGGGCCCTCCTTATACCCAACTCGAAATATTCCACTTGAAAATGAGGGGTGGATGAGATTTGAACCTGTGATTTTTGTGTCATGTTGGTTCTGATATCATATTAACGGACCAACTTAACCAAAGGCTAATTAAGCTGATGGTTGAAGTCCAGAAATATGTTTTATACTCTATTATTAGCACTATACATTTATGAACATGTTTAAAATTCACTCCTTTCGTCATTAAAAAAACAACGTACCAATAAAACTTAAAAATGAGGATCATGAAGTGGAGGGATGGTTTGTCCCTCCATTTCCCCAGGAGTGACCTAGATTCGATCCTCACGCCACCCCTCCTGTACAACCACTAACGCCTTACAAAAAAAACTCCTATTCAACTTCTTATACATTTTGGACAAACCACAAGAACACGACGAAAACCAAAAGCTAACTAAAAATAATTATACTAAAAAGCAATTGTCAAACAACCTCATAATCCTAAAAGCTTACTTTGTGGTTTATTAATTTTGTCGACTATTTATCTGCCTGTCGTTATCTAAATCATGTATTACATGTAACAAGATTCTAGAAGAGCTATTTGTAGTCCCAGGCATAACTCTGTGAAAGAGTCTCGTGGCTCTTCTACATCCTCATCCTCCCCTTACAAATTTAGTCCATTCTCATAAATTATTGGACGTGACTAAACGCATAACAATGTACGTAGCCAATGCTCATTATGATGTACAGCCGTACTGATAAAGGCTACAATAAATACAGATATCAACTGATTTTAAATTTTTGATATCAAATCTTAAATAGTGTTTGAGATCTTGGGAAAATCCACTGAGTTGTCCCATATCGAAGATTGTTATGGTAAAAACTAGAAGTAAATAAACACACATTGACGACATTGTGAATAAACTTGATACCTTGTTACGTATTTTGAGCAAGAGTCTTATGACACTATGTATTTTATATTTTTATTTGTTTAATGGGTTATGTAACGATCTGTTGCACAAGAGCCTCGTGGCATGATGTATTTTGTTTGTTTAGTGGATTGTGGCATCATTGATATACTCCGTTTAAGGATGACACTTTCGTTCTTTAGAATTGTAAGTTGTTCTAAAAGTCTCTTTCTCATTAATGGGAACATGCATATGACCCAAACTCATAACGATTGAGGAATTTCATAAACTGCATTCAGGAGCTTTTGCAAACAAAACTAACTGTAACTCTATAACAACTTGTAAGGCCATAACATGTAAAAGCACTTCCTTTATCTTAAAAGTTTTTCTTATTAAACAGTGACTATTTGTCTCACAATAAAAAGTAAAAACTTGGATTATAAAGCTACAACATACGAGTATAAAAAAAATACTTTATTTTTCTCTAAGGCTTTGTTTGGTTGATATGAGAATTTATTTACCATATAAAATTGCATTTTATGGGAAGTTATTTCCCTAATGAAATTCCTAGGAATTTCTTAAATTTGTTTAGTTGGCAATATGAAAATTTAGAAATCCCATGAATTTTGATTGACCTAGGAGGGGCTAGGTAATTTACTTCCCTTGTTTTGTGGAAAGTTTAAATTCCCATAAATTTCCAATTTCCTCATTTTTGCTTTTTTGTGTCAACTAAACAAGTCCTTAATTTATCAAATCTCGTAAACTTTCACTTCCCCCGTTTTATGTTGTTATACAAACAAGGCCTAAAAATTCTCTTTTTTTAACAATGATCAATGTCTCATAGTAAAAGAACGCGAGTAAAAAAAAAAGTACTCGTAAAAAAGAATCGAACAGGAAGAACCGGTAGAAACGAAAGTAGTACAATATCTATATTTAATGCTTCAATTCCCAATCCTTAATGCAGGAATCTAACACTATGGTCATATGGTGATATACTATCAATGATACCCTATAATTAACTAATCATACCCTACAATTACCAAAATTGAATGTTCTTAGCCTTAATTAACAGATAAGAACTCTGATTACTATATACAGTTGTACAATTATAAGTTCATTTCATATTCATACACCTAAAAGAAAAATCTAAGAAAATAAAAAGTAAACCAAAAATCTATAAGAAATTATTAATTACAGAAAACTCCCCACCAAATTCAGGAATAGCAGAAACAGAAGCAGCACAAAGCTTTTCATGAAAAACCTCCATCAACTCATCTGGCACAAAGGGTGTCCTACAAAGAGGACACGTAATCTGATCATGATCCATCCAACGGTCCACACACACTCTATGAAATATATGCCCGCAATTTGTCAGCCGTCGGATCTCCTCGTGATCTCGAAAATCATACAAACAAACCGCGCATTGCTCGGGCTCGTTTGACCCGGGTGAACATGAACGTACGACGTCGTTGAACTTCATCACGGGTAGCATTTCTTGGATAATGGTGGCAGTTGCGGGCTTGGATTCGGGCCCGGGTTCGGGACAGAAGATCTCGGGTTCGAGAAAATGGGAGAGACCCGAGAATCTTGAGAGATTGAGGATGAAAGGTTTAAGGAGATTGAAGAGAGAAAGGGAATTGATGAGGAATTGTTGGGCATACCCGGTTGGGAAGCCCATCGGGCTTTGATTTAAACGGGTCGGGTTTGAGTGTTGATGGCTTGGAAGTTTGAATGGTAAGTGGTGTGAGGAATGTTGGAGTAAACTAGTAGAGGTGTTTTGAGAGTTGGTATGTAAAATATGAATAAGTTGGAGATGTTGGTCTATTTATAAAGAGGGAGGAATTAAGTAGAAAAATATTGGGTCATTGCTAAAATAAAAAAAAATTAAAAAATAAGTTTCATTAAAATTTTGCATTTTTGGTTTTGACCAGCGAGTAGTTTTTGTTTCGAGAGTGACATAAATGGTAAATGATTAAACGTAAATGAATTGGTGAGGAATATGACGTTGATTAGTAAGGAAGTTGGCATTAATTTGTGAGAAAGATGATGTTGAAGGAGGTTTTACCAGACGGAACATTTCAATTTTGAAGTTAAATTTGGATTAAAAAATGATTAGAATAATTTGATGTTTTTAATAAAAAATAGTCATCTGTGTTATATGGAATTGTTTGAACACTTTTCATTTTCATCTATTTCAGAATAGTTGTGATACATTTTAAGAATGCTCCTATCAATTACAGTGCATTTGTTATCTCTTGCGCCTTATAAAAACTATATATTATGAGACAGAAGAGCATCTTTTATATGCTACTAGGTAAGAGCGTAAAATGAACTCATCTGTCAAACTGGAGCCTCTCACGAATTTAACCCGATAAAGTTTGGGGGCTATGCACTTTAAGAGTAAGAGGGGAAATGTGGCCGAGATTGTGGGCTAAGCACTTTTAAGAGTAAGGGGGGAAGGATAAAGTGCTCCGAGTAAATGGGGATTGAACCTCCAATCTCAAGGCTCCAACGGATTACACTAAGCTTTACTTGGTATTTTTATGTGCATATGTTGTATCAAAATAATATAGTGTATTCCATTCATTTTTAAATAATTGACACATTTAAACTTGACACACATGTCATTACACTTGTAAGTTTGACCATAGATCAAATATGTATGATTAAGTATTTTTTTTTAAAAAGAAAAAATATTGATATTATGAAATTTTATATTAATACCTACTCTCTCTTTCCCTACTTTTTTTACTCATTCCAAATAATTGAGTAAAACACTAAAATCTTGTACAGTAAATACTCATTAATTCATAAGAGATAATATAGTCAAGTAGAGTCTTGCTGGATTTTTCTCATTGTATATTTTATTAATATCAAGTTTTTATAATTTTTACACATAAAAAATGAAGTTATATAAGTTCTAAGATGCGCGATGAAAACCGTAAAAAGTCAGATGGGACAAAAAAATAGGAACAGAGGGAGTTTTTAATGATATTTCATAATAAAACTTGTTTTTATATGTTACTAAAAAACGTCGGTCAAAATTAATATGTGAATAGTAAAAAAGACAAATATGTCAACAATTTAGAAACGAATAGAGTAATAAAAAAAAATGTACACTTATGTTTTAAAGTTATATATAAACCTATTCACGCTCTTAGCTTTACCCCAAGCAACAATATCAAATGGACTCCTCTAATTCGCAACAATGTAGTCGTGCAAAAATAAACAAGTAGTTGTAATTTTTTATAATTGTATTCAAATGAAACCAATAAAAAACAATGTTTCAATTGTTTTTTTGACTTTCTTTACAAACAAGGTGTTCGGTGAGGAAAAGGGAGAAAAGGCAAAGTATTGAGAATTAGTCTTACCTCTAAATAAAAAAATATATGTATATACTTGCATGTTTTAAAATTAGTAATACCGTTAATAGACGTAGCTATAAAATTTCAAAGTAATACCATTTAAAATATTTATTAAATATTTACATGTAACCCTAACGGCCCTAAGGGTTGTGCTGGCTTGTGTAGAGTATAGTTGTTTATTGTGAAAGACAAAATAGAACATTACCAATTAATTATCTTGGATTATCATATTTAATAGAAACAGTACAGAGTACCATAAATAGTTGGTAAATTTTTCTCCAAACAATCTTGTCAAATAAATAAATAAAAATCCTTAATTAAAACTAAATTGTGGTGAATAATTAATCAAATTATATATGTAAGACTAAGCAATAACGTGGAGAAATGTAGTGCAGTGAATAGGGTAACTATACCTTATAATTTCTTCATTAAGAGCTACGAGTGTATTAAATGCGCGAGATCAGTTGTTACTTGGTACATACTTGCATTATTATTGTGTAAAATTGAAGGTCCAAATATAAAATGGGACCCCAACCCATTATGTTCGTGTAATTTGGACCGTTTGCTGCCCCTACTAATTCGCTTCCATGCTTTTTTTTTTTTTTTTTCAAGTCCCTTGTTATTTTTTTCAAAAAAAAAAAAAAAAAAAGTCCCTTATTATTTTCTTGTATCCTGAATTTATTTCTACCTAAAAAATCAATTTCGATAAATTTGCATTTAAATTGTCTAAACTAATAGTTCAATGTATTTTATCACAGAAACAAATTTTTCGAAGGATGATAAATCAATGGATTTGGAGGACCCTTAGATTGAATAGTCACAAAACTTACAAGTTACAACGTTAGATGTCATAATTTGCAGCCTCCGCCGTGTTTTCACGTACATTGTGTACCCAGTTTTTTTTTTTTTTTTTTTTTTTTGGCTTATTTATTCAGTTTTAGCTTTTTTTTTTTGGAGAATTCATATAGAGCAAAATTGATAAAATGGCATGGCAAAAAAAAAAAAAAAACAAACAAACAAACAACTGAACTACAATGAGTCTATTTGGATACATGCAAGGCGAAGTCATAGACTCTATCAAAGGTGATACACTGATACTTGGCTCGCCATTTTATTTTTATTTTTCTCTTTTACAGCAAATACTAGTTTTGACCAACTGACCCGTATGAATGTGTAATGCATGACCACTATTTTGTTTTAAAAATGACTTTTACATTTTTGCTCATCATATAACTTAGAGATTACATGCTTCATTGTCTTTTATTTATAATAAAACATCAACGTTTGAAGATTTATAAGATATAATGTTGGGAACTTTAATATACTTTATATGTGTCAATTCGTGTATGAAATTTATTTTAGATAAAGCGGCGTGAAATGTATTTGAGGTAAAGGGGCATATAATTGGATGAAAATTAGATGTAATTAAAAGAAGGAATTTCAATTGAAGATACATAAAGTTGGAAGAAAATACAAATTTGGGAAGAAAAGTAAAGCGAAAATTCAATTAATGAGACATGAAATTGGGGAAAAAAAATAGATTTAGCAGAATAAAGAAAAAACAAGAGAAGCCCAAAAAATAAGAATAGGTTTCCAAGAAGGGAAATGTGGTAGTTTAGATTTTTTGTAAATTTTCTTGTAATTAAAAAAATTCCTTTGAATCATTTTAATTGTTTATTTAGTCATGTTTGTCTATGAATGAATTAAAGCATCAAGTTCTTCAATTATCAATAGAGAATAATTATAAAATTGGTGGATGATCAACTAGATTTGTTGGTTTAAAGTCTTATGGAATGGTATTCAAGACCTCGGATTAAATCCCGAAATTATATTTCAAATATACTCGTAAAATCACAAAATGAAGTTAAAATAGGTTATGCAAATAGTGTCCTAAGTGATTACTCTAACTAGTGTCTGTTTTGAATAAAAAACAATATGGTCAAGACTTTAACCTTTTAGTAGTGGGATGGAAATGAGTTGGGTCTAATCTGAGAATTGGGACCGAGAATACCTACACCAGAGAGCACGTTAATTGACCTCAGGATATGTTTGAGGAAACCTTTTTGATGCCTAAGTCAGCACGTGTAGCTAAATGCTAGAGAGAATTTTCAATGCTAGTGCAAGTATAGAGATAGCATGGGTCATATATGGATCGGATCCATTAGGACAATAGGACAAGGGTCCAAATCCGTTTTTCTACCCTGAGTCTGGATCCGTCGGATCTAGAAAATGGATATCCAAATCCAACAGGTCCATCGGATCCAGATCCAAAACATATCATGTACGTTTTTCCTAATTTTTTAGGACACATATAATTGTAACACCCTAGAAATTTCTTTCCTTTAAAATACCTGTTTCACCCTTTTAAAACACAAGATAGGAAATTCTTAGGCATTACCGCCACCGTGATAACGACTAAGACATTTATCAAAGACACACAGCGGAAGACTCTTTTCAAAACCTTTCAAAACAAAGTCAAAGTCCAACAGTTCAACCAAACAAAAGTAAAGTCAAACAAGGTCAAACCTACAATTTGGAACCATTGTAGGCCCTTTTCAAAACCAAAGGTACTTAAAACTAACGCGTGAGTATCATCAATCAATATTAATAATCCAACAATAAATAATAATAATAATAATAATGCATATTCAAAATAAAATTAGAATAAGATTCGCTCTTCACTCAAACCCCAACATGAATATGCCGCTTCACCTGAAAAAAAATCCTTAAAATGTCCCTACTACTCACAATAAGAAATGGGTCGTCGTAGGGCCAAGATAAAGACAAAGCCAAATACACACAAAACACAACAATTAGCAATGCTGAGTGCATAAGCGTAAAAGGAAACACACTAACATGTTAGCATCCTAACAATAACAATAAAGCTTACCTTTCCTCAGAGTTCAACCTACAAACAATAGATACATGGACTCATTACATTAATTATTTTGATTACGCATCGAACGGATTTCCCACCAAATCCTTGCCCTAAAGAATTGGGGTAAACTACTCCGAGAGCTAACCGAGTAGGCAAAATAGTCACACGAAAATGACGGACGTAAAATACAGCGTCCTGTACTCCTAGTAGAAGTTATGGTTAAATATAAAACCCCACAACTCCCCCCATATGTTCATACTCGAGATATGTACGTTCCAAGAGTTTTGGTGCGTAATCTCTTTCACTTTACGTTGTTTACATATTTTAGACTTGGTTATGAATCTCAATCCACAACACAATCAAACATCATAAATCATTCAAATAATCAACATTCCAATTCAGTTCTTTAATATTTAGTGATCACATATAATTCAATGTTGAACCCTTTTCTTAAAACTACCTTGGTGTTGAAACACCTTAAGCGCATAAAGCACTGCAAATCCTATCCCTCGGTGTTTTGAACACCTTAAGTGCACTTAGGCCCCGTATTTCATTTTATTCATGTGTACTAAGACACTTGATAGCTCAATTCCCATGCGTATAACATCAATGAAAATCATATGAACCATAATAAAATTCCCTTTTTATATTCCAAACCAAATTAAACATTTAGTTTAATCAAATAAACCTTTAAGCATGCTAATAATTAAAGTATGGTTCAATAACAATATTCCATCGTCACCAATTCCAATAAATAATTCATTCCAACCAATCATGCTTCACAACTAATTCACCAATTTTAATTCAATTCAATACACCAATCCAATTCCTAGCATGATACTAACTTGGAATCAACTTAAATAAATCCTAGCATGATTCTACACGCTTAATAAATTTCGAGTACGCGTACGTACCTCGAATAAGCTCTTAAAGTAG